GCACTAAAGAAGTTTTGCTTTTAGTTGTCAAAATAATTTATCTCTGTTGTTTGTGATTCCTTCATGTTCATCCTTCTTTACTGTTCTCTGGATTGTGAGAACTAAACCAAGATGACACCTGGTCCAGAGCTATCCCTTTTCAGTTTTTTGGATTAATTTTTTTCCCTTAAAAAGCAAGAAGTTCTTGTATCTCAATGAGATAGCTATAAGGCAGCTCCGAGAGTAGATCATGAGAGGATTTGGATGAGAGCAATATTCTTTGCGAGTGTTTTGCTATAATCTAAAGACTTATAACACTCTAAACATTTAATCCAAAATATTATAAATTCTAACATCCCAAAATATTAAATTCTAAAAAATCTAAATCCTAATATTTTAAACATTGAATTGAAAAATAATTTAAAACCTAACCCTTTAAACAATAAATTCTAAAAAAAAATTAAACTCTAAATTCTAAATATTAAACAGTAAAAAATTTAAATTCTTACACCTTAAATCTTAAACCCTAAAACATAATATAAACGCCAACACATTAAATATTAAACACTAACTAAAAAATCTAAATCCTAATGTTCTAAATTAAAATAATTTTATTTGATTTAGAGATTTAAATGATATCTTTTAGATTCAAGTGCTTAATTAAAAATTATAATCTTATAAAACTTTTTTTTTTTTTCAACAAGAGCACCTATAGGGGGAAGGGAGAAGGGAATGGGTTTAACTCGTAGGTTGGAAGAAGTACCAATAGCCATAGTCTTAGTGCAAATATTAAAGTGATCGGTGAGATTTGAATTTCCAACCAATTTTACCCAAATACTAAAATTCGAGGACGAATTATTATATCCCAAAACCGGTTCTTAATCCTGTAAAACTTGAGGGCTTCTGTCAGCATTGCTACGGAAAGGAACACGGAATCAAACGGACGTGGCATTGCCACGTCCACTAGGCCTTCTGTCGGCATGGCGACCGAGTCGCTGCCTTTGGCCACAGTAACATTATTAACATTTAGGTGGTTTGAACTTTGAATTAATTTTTTTTTTTACAATTAATAATTAATAATTATAATATAAAATATTTAATTCATTTATTTAAAAACTAATTGCAAGTAACTGCTTTTAAAAAATCAAATCAAACACCCCTATTAGTAGATAAAGCACCAACGAATGACAGTAAATTATATTAATCAAGAATAAACTACAAATGATGGTTTTAATAAGTGAAATTTTAACCATGGTCATTTCTTCTATAATAGTAATTAGTAATAACTACTATAAATATTAATGTTTATTAATTAAATGTTTAAAAAGTTAGAATGAAAATATTATTATATATATTTTAAAAAAATACAACATTTTTTTATCAAAATGGTTATAATTGACAATTACATTTAGGTTTTCATTTTTTTAGAAGAAGTTTGCCAATTTTTTAAGATAATAATTAGCTTAATACATTACACTTAAACTTAAATTTTTTTTCTCCCAGGTCCCGTAGGTACGCCCCTATTCATAAGTCACCAGGGGCTTGGTTAGTGGGATAAGATTGGCAATTCAAAGTCTTTGTCTCTACTTTCTACCATCAAACACGCTGTCATACCGCCAAAGTCATTTTATCTCGTCCAATGTACTTATTCAAAGTCTTTGTCCCTACTTTCCACCATAAAACACGCTTTCATAGGACCAAAGTCTTTTTGTCTCTTCCAATAAACTCATGCAAAGTCTTTGTACCTATGCCGAACCAGCTCTTATGATTTAATGGTTCACTTTTAAGTTTTAAATGCTTGGATAAAGTGGTTGGAGCTTTAAACTTCATTATTATTATAAATTTCACCAAAAAATAATTTGATAGTCACACGCCTCATTTGAGGGGGTGGATTGTTCACCTAATCTAAAAATCAATTACTAACAATTAACTCACTAACTTCATATCTATTACTCTTATAAAAAAAAAAAAAGTCTTTGTCCCTACTTTCCACCATCAAACACGCTTTCATAGGGCCAAAGTCTTTTTATCTCTTCCAATAAACTCATGCAAAGTCTTTGTCCCTACTTTCCACCATCAAACAC